TTTGTTTAGCTTCTTATTTGCAACATAGTACATAGTTGCTTAGAGTTGCAGCTGAGAGGCCGGCAAGTTAGGCATTGGAGTCCGCAGTCACTGACGCAAGCAAGCCTCCCTGCTCGCTTCAGTGCCTGGCTGCCGGCCGCCATCTTGGCTGACAGTTAATTTGCATATACTCACTGATTAGCCAATGAAAAGGGTAGCGGTCGTACGCTAATTACCATGTTTCTCTTTTATTAGTGTAGATGCATTATGAGGTAACATGCTCAATAAAAGTCTCTAATGTACTCCAAAATTTTGCCTCTGGTATTGGGCTTTATAATTGGTGACTATGTTCATATGCTCTGAAATAATCTATTTTTCTTTGGATTTTATCAAACAGTCAAGTTAATTTGACATTTCCCTGGTAATGTTCAGAATATTTACCTATAGGGTGCATTAATTTTTAATATATCAACACAGTGGAAATGCAAAAAGTGGCACAATTATGTCTTAGACTGAGCTTTGAGATGCCTCTGTGCCCTCCTTTTACTGTGAGATAGGCAATGGCACTGGAAGGTGACATCTAGTTGTAATACACATGACACTCACACCTTTTCACACTCTTGCAAGCATTTATCTCCATAGTTGGCTTCACTTATTTGGTTCATATCCATGATTTTCTAGAAAATGAATCTATTTTCAACTTAGTCCTTTACCCTCTGATTTCTACTCCTATTTTCAAGTCTTAAATATTTCAGTAGATAGCCTAAACCTACTAAAATGTACTTCACTTCATGACTTATTTATATCAACTCTTAAGACTTATTTATATCAACTCTTAACACAGACAGTGAAACATACATGCTAGACAAGTTTTCATGGTCACATCAGGGTGAACTGGAGTTATAAAAAGGTGAGACACACAATAATTTTTTTGCTAATTATTTCCTATGCGACTTCAGTTATTCCGCATCAAGACACTCGTCCTCCACAGATGCTTTTAGTGACACTGCTTGGCAAGCTATATTCATCACTTCCCCTCACTTTCATTTTATGAGAATAACTGAGAGCAACTGTACTCTTTTTTCACAATGACTAATTGATTCCCCTCTGTTCTACTGGAAGAAGAATGCATTTACTTTTTTTTTTGAAAAATGAGCAGAGTTCTTTCTATATCGTAAATGGAATTTCATACACTAAGTTAATTGTATATTGTGTATGAAATCCAGATTTTCTACCACATTTTCCTGTCTCATGCTACAATGAAAAAGAAAAATAATTAACCCCAACTAAACAAAATCAGCTTTTATTTTATTTCTGTCCTCACAGACTCTTATCTAGTTACTTTCAACAGATGTCAATGTGAAAGAGACTCCCAGTTCAGAAAAGCCTTTCAAGTGATATTCTAATTTTTTATTATCTTAATCAATAAATAAAAATGTTAAAAATGTCTTTACACCCCCAGACCAGCATCAATAATGCCATTTTACCCTTTAAGAAAAATATTACTACATATTTTAGAGATATCTGCTTATCCTTCCCTCTTCCAGTGAAGAAAATAAAAGGCACCAATTTCAAGAGTTTATTTTATTTTAAACTACTTTTTATTGTGCGCAGGATAGGATCATGTACTATAAAGACCTTCCTTCAAGGAAAGTTTATTATGGCTTCAAAAACTGTATCATTCAAGCAAAGATATTTCTAAGGCACTGTCTTTCCTGCCCCAACTGTTTTCTTCCTGTTTGCCAGTGGGAATTTAGAAAATATGTAGAAGCAGCACAAGTTGGGCACTGCCCTTGGCTCACTGACAAGGATACTCTCCTCAGGATAAAAGATAGGCTGTTGCTATGGTTATTGCTTTACTAGATGATGAACAGAGACCTAATCCCAAACTAGAATTGCTACACACATAAGCTTACGGAGTCAACTTTTTATTTAACAACTTGCCTCTCACCTGTTTTCTATTTCTCAAGTTCTATATCCTCTGAATATAAAGAAAATAATTCAGCATTCTCACTAGACATTTCTTTATTTACCTGCACATATCTTAAAGGTTTCTCCTTTATTGTATTCCTGGAAGATGTAAATGATCATTTTCATCAAGAGCTAATTTTGTAAATGACAGATTTGGAGTCTTTTTTAAGAGTGTGATAAAACATTAACTTGTGACTTAAAGGTACTTTGTTACAGATATGTATTATGTGTATAAAATATAGCAATAGAGTGTCAGAAAAAATAGACCACTGTCATGCAGAATAGTAGGTAAACTAATAAATCAAACATCAGTCAATACTCTCTATGATGTACTTTTAATTGCTTCCGGTTAATATACCAGATTAGTTCTCAACTAATAAACTTCTGTTCTTATAATGTGGGAAATGGATTGCTGATAACTGTACATTCTTGTTATATGAGGTGACATCTGAAGCCAGTTTGTTTCCATCTTTTCTTTTTTTTTTTTTTAATTAAATCTTTATTGTTTCCCTGGTAATGTTCAGAATATTTACCTATAGGGTGCATTAATTTTTAATATATCAACACAGTGGAAATGCAAAAAGTGGCACAATTATGTCTTAGACTGAGCTTTGAGATGCCTCTGTGCCCTCCTTTTACTGTGAGATAGGCAATGGCACTGGAAGGTGACATCTAGTTGTAATACACATGACACTCACACCTTTTCACACTCTTGCAAGCATTTATCTCCATAGTTGGCTTCACTTATTTGGTTCATATCCATGATTTTCTAGAAAATGAATCTATTTTCAACTTAGTCCTTTACCCTCTGATTTCTACTCCTATTTTCAAGTCTTAAATATTTCAGTAGATAGCCTAAACCTACTAAAATGTACTTCACTTCATGACTTATTTATATCAACTCTTAAGACTTATTTATATCAACTCTTAACACAGACAGTGAAACATACATGCTAGACAAGTTTTCATGGTCACATCAGGGTGAACTGGAGTTATAAAAAGGTGAGACACACAATAATTTTTTTGCTAATTATTTCCTATGCGACTTCAGTTATTCCGCATCAAGACACTCGTCCTCCACAGATGCTTTTAGTGACACTGCTTGGCAAGCTATATTCATCACTTCCCCTCACTTTCATTTTATGAGAATAACTGAGAGCAACTGTACTCTTTTTTCACAATGACTAATTGATTCCCCTCTGTTCTACTGGAAGAAGAATGCATTTACTTTTTTTTTTGAAAAATGAGCAGAGTTCTTTCTATATCGTAAATGGAATTTCATACACTAAGTTAATTGTATATTGTGTATGAAATCCAGATTTTCTACCACATTTTCCTGTCTCATGCTACAATGAAAAAGAAAAATAATTAACCCCAACTAAACAAAATCAGCTTTTATTTTATTTCTGTCCTCACAGACTCTTATCTAGTTACTTTCAACAGATGTCAATGTGAAAGAGACTCCCAGTTCAGAAAAGCCTTTCAAGTGATATTCTAATTTTTTATTATCTTAATCAATAAATAAAAATGTTAAAAATGTCTTTACACCCCCAGACCAGCATCAATAATGCCATTTTACCCTTTAAGAAAAATATTACTACATATTTTAGAGATATCTGCTTATCCTTCCCTCTTCCAGTGAAGAAAATAAAAGGCACCAATTTCAAGAGTTTATTTTATTTTATTTTTAACTACTTTTTATTGTGTGCAGGATAGGATCATGTACTATAAAGACCTTCCTTCAAGGAAAGTTTATTATGGCTTCAAAAACTGTATCATTCAAGAAAAGATATTTCTAAGGCACTGTCTTTCCTGCCCCAACTGTTTTCTTCCTGTTTGCCAGTGGGAATTTAGAAAATATGTAGAAGCAGCACAAGTTGGGCACTGCCCTTGGCTCACTGACAAGGATACTCTCCTCAGGATAAAAGATAGGCTGTTGCTATGGTTATTGCTTTACTAGATGATGAACAGAGACCTAATCCCAAACTAGAATTGCTACACACATAAGCTTACGGAGTCAACTTTTTATTTAACAACTTGCCTCTCACCTGTTTTCTATTTCTCAAGTTCTATATCCTCTGAATATAAAGAAAATAATTCAGCATTCTCACTAGACATTTCTTTATTTACCTGCACATATCTTAAAGGTTTCTCCTTTATTGTATTCCTGGAAGATGTAAATGATCATTTTCATCAAGAGCTAATTTTGTAAATGACAGATTTGGAGTCTTTTTTAAGAGTGTGATAAAACATTAACTTGTGACTTAAAGGTACTTTGTTACAGATATGTATTATGTGTATAAAATATAGCAATAGAGTGTCAGAAAAAATAGACCACTGTCATGCAGAATAGTAGGTAAACTAATAAATCAAACATCAGTCAATACTCTCTATGATGTACTTTTAATTGCTTCCGGTTAATATACCAGATTAGTTCTCAACTAATAAACTTCTGTTCTTATAATGTGGGAAATGGATTGCTGATAACTGTACATTCTTGTTATATGAGGTGACATCTGAAGCCAGTTTGTTTCCATCTTTTCTTGTAGCATCCCAAAGCCACCAGAGAAATTATATCTCTCATTTTCAGTAATTCATAACTCCATTCTACATATACTAAAACTTTAAAAATCCATCACTGGTGTTCAGAGCAGATTAAAATAATCCCCAAAATTAGAAGATATATAATACAAATTTTACTTAAATGAATAACTCATTAAGCATTTATCGAATATTAATTAATTACCTGCTGTGTAAAAGCACTATCATAGGGCCATATATTTTTAAAGCGCCTTTAGCTATAAATGTAACAAAATTATTCTAGAAGTTTTTTGTTGAAGAAGGATACTGGAAATTATAGCTGGTTACAAATTGCATAGAGGCTATCTGAGCTTGGTTTACATAGCATAGGTAACAATAACTGAAAAATCACTGAAACATAAATACTACAACATATATGGGTAAAGTTTAACCTTTTTGTTTGTTTATTTGTTTGTTTTGTAAACTTTCTCCCCATGTATCTGAAAAGTTTTGAGAACTACAGAAAGGGCAGGGAGATATTTTTGCAAATTGAATGAAATATACCAAGTAGATTCCAGGGCATTAGGCTGCCAAATACTACTGCAAAATACATACTATTACAAAAATATAACCTAGTTACAGAATGCTAGACATTGTGTCTTATTCCCATAACAAAGGAAAATGTATTAGGGCATCAAATGAGAGTATTCATCCAACTGTATGCTTTAGAACTCTGTGAATATCTTGGAAAAGAAAACTAGAAGAAAGAAGACTGGACATGATGAAAATTACACAAAAGGGAAAGGTGGAAGTGATATAATAGAACTAGGAAGAAAAAGACTTCATCTTGAATTTTCAAATATCTTGCTAATAAGCATTCTGAAATTTGAGGGTGAAAGAGAAGAAAATGCTATTGACAGATGGTTATTGGAACTTAATAAGTGCAGATGATAAATGAATTTTTGTTAAAAAATGAATCTAGCTGAAGTCATGTGCAAGTTTCACCTGGATTTACCCAAAGTATCCTGAGCCAAAGGAAACAAATTTGGATGCTTTTACTGTCTTACTTTTTCCAATACCAGAATTACTGCAATTATTGTCAAATATTCCCCATTTCTAGAATGATTGCTGTTTACCCCTATGATTTATTTACTTCTATTTATAAGTAAATTTTTCTTCACAATAGAAATTCTCAGTGTCTCAGGTATTTTCCCACATGTAGAGAATTGTTTTTAGTTATAGTTAGGTTAAAAAAAAAAAGGCTTAGGCTAGCATTACCACCACAACTTTTACTCTGCCCATTGTGCCATTTCTTTCATTCAAATGACTCATTTGTCTGTATCTAATTAGTAATTGCCAGCCTTTAAAATTTTATCTACTGGTACAAGAATGAGTAATTTGCTTTCATCATATTTAGAACTTTAGTGGTATACAGATCTAAAATCCAAAACAGATCATATCAGAGCTTCAATAGAGAGGTAACAAAAGATTCCCAAATAGCTCATTTTATTAGACCTATAGTTTCTTTAATATATTCTTATTAATGTTAACAGTTTTATGATATACTAGAGGCCCAGTACACAAATTTGTGCACAGGTAGGGTCCAGCCGGCCCACCCCAATCGGGGCTGATCAGGCGGTGCTGGGCCAGGGGGGCAGGGGGAACATGGGAGGTGGGTGGGCCAGCCATGCCCCCAATTGGAGGGGTGCTGATCAGGGGCGGGGCCGGCTGGGGGGAGGGGCTGAAGGGCCCTGGTCGAACACCCAGTCAGACTCCTGGCTGAGGGGACAATTTACATATTAGCCTTTTATTATATAGGATTATCATATTGCTTTTGCAAATTATCACATTGGCTTTTGCATATGGCAGTATTTCCTAAACCAGCTTCTTAATATTTCTTTTTAAATGTATACTAAATAAAAGCAAGCTAAAGAATACCTAAAGCCTACATAACTGAAAATTGAAACAGAAGTTGCCAAGATTAGAAATTTCATTTACTCAATGATTTTGAAATAAATGCAAGTTTCTTCTTACCTTATTGTTATACAGACTTACTCTCAGAACACTATTTTCCATAGCATAATAGAACTGCAAATGGCAGCTCTTGCCCAAGCAGTGATACACAGAGCTGTTCAGATAAGCCCTGCTGTCTAAATGGTCAAGAGTAGAAGCATGGTTAGCCCCTACCCACATATAGTAACCTGAAAAATAAAGGAAAAGGGAGCAATTTAGAAACAAATTAGGTACTTTATGTTTAAATAAAATTATTGTATTTCTAGAGTTTCAAAATCAGACTTGAATCACAAATATTTAAAATATGATGGTATGAAATGATTGCATCAACTACAAATGACAGGTTTCCGTTTCCACATGTACTTCCTAAAATGCATTGAAATCTGCTCCAAATGTCTGCAATAAAGTTTGATCATGCACCCCAAATGAAAATTCAATAGTCTTATAAAAATCTCAGGGCCACCAAATGTTCATTTTCTTTTAAATATCACAATGTAATTTTCCTTTAATCAAGAATTCTTCAGCCCTGACCGGTTTGGCTCAGAGGATAGGGCATCGGCCTGTGGACTGAAGGGTCCCAGGTTCGATTCTGGTCAAGGGCATGTACCTTGGTTGCAGGCACATCCCCAGTGGGAGATGTGCAGGAGGCAGCTGATCGATGTTTCTTTTTCATTGATGTTTCTGGCTCTCTATCCCTCTCCCTTCCTCTCTGTAAAAAAATCAATAAAATATATATTTTTTTAAAAAAGAATTCTTCAGGTTTCTTTTCAAAATTCTTTTCCCTTTTGATTATTTTTCCACTTTTTACAGAGAAACCTTTATAATTTGACATAATATATTTTTATATATATTGAAGTCTCTTATATTTTTTTAGAAAAACATTTCAGAATCAGACATGTATTAGTAAGAATTCTAAGAGCCAATAGAAACAGAACTATAAATATATCAATTATGGAATTGGCTCACAGAGTTATGGAGGCTGAGAAATCCCATAGTCTGCTATCTGCAAGCTAGAGAACCTCTGTTGGTACAATTCAATCTGAGTCTAAAGGCCTGAGGACCAGGGATGCAATGTTGTAAATCTTAAGAGTTTGAAGGCCCAGAACCAGGAGCTTAGATGTCAGACATTTTTATCTCTCAGAATCTTACCTTCTATTTGCACTTCATCTCATGATCTGTGTTAATCTGAGTAATTGTGATGGCAACACATGCCATGTGTTACTGGAATCCCACTTTCTCTTGACAAGGATGTTGCTGTGCACTTCTCAAATCCCACCAATTCTATTTTTCACTTTGTTCTTATTGTTGACACTGTTACAGATGTTCCCATTTCTACCTCGTGCCCCCTGCTTTGCCCATCTCAACCCAGCCCCTGCCCACCATTCCCTCTGGCCATTACCTCACTATTGTCTGTGTCTATGGGTTATGCATACATGTTCCATGGCTAATCCCTTCACCTTCTTTCATCTAGTCTCCACTTCAATCCCCCCTGACAGCTGTCAGTCTGTTCCATATATCCATGCCTCTGGTTCTACTTTGTTGTTAATCAGTTTCTTTTGTTCATTAGATTCCAACCAGGAGCTTAGATGTCAGACATTTTTATCTCTCAGAATCTTACCTTCTATTTGCACTTCATCTCATGATCTGTGTTAATCTGAGTAATTGTGATGGCAACACATGCCATGTGTTACTGGAATCCCACTTTCTCTTGACAAGGATGTTGCTGTGCACTTCTCAAATCCCACCAATTCTATTTTTCACTTTGTTCTTATTGTTGACACTGTTACAGATGTTCCCATTTCTACCTCGTGCCCCCTGCTTTGCCCATCTCAACCCAGCCCCTGCCCACCATTCCCTCTGGCCATTACCTCACTATTGTCTGTGTCTATGGGTTATGCATACATGTTCCATGGCTAATCCCTTCACCTTCTTTCATCTAGTCTCCACTTCAATCCCCCCTGACAGCTGTCAGTCTGTTCCATGTATCCATGCCTCTGGTTCTACTTTGTTGTTAATCAGTTTCTTTTGTTCATTAGATTCCACATATAAGTGAGTTCATATGGTATTTGTCTTTCTCTGACTGAATTATTTCACTTAAGCATTATATTCTCCAGGTACATCCATGCTGTTGCAAAGGGTAAGATTTCCTTCTTTCTTACGGCTGGGTAATATTCCATTGTGTAAATGTACCATAGCTTTTTATCCCCTCATCTACTGATGGGCACTTGGACTCTGTTTCCAGATCTTGGCTATTGTAAATAACACTGTAATGAACATAGGGGTGGAATATTCTTTCTGATTGGTGTTTCAGAACTCTTAGGATATATTCCCAGAAGTGTGACGACTGAGTCAAAAGGCAGCTCCAATTTTAAATTTTTGAGGAAACTCAATACTGTTTTTCACAGTGGCTGCATCAGTCTGCATTCCCACCAGCAGAGGCAGCTCCAATTTTAAATTTTTGAGGAAACTCAATACTGTTTTTCACAGTGACTGCATCAGTCTGCATTCCCACCAGCAGTGTACGAGGGTTCCCTCTTCTCCACATTCTTTCCAGCACTTATTGTTTATTGATTTATTGATGGTAGCCATTCTGGCAGGTGTGAGGTGATATCTCATTGCAGTTTTAATTTACATCTCTTTGATGATTAGTGATATTAAGCATTTTCATATGTCGTTTGGACATTTCTATGTCCTCTTTGGCGAAGTGTCTACTAGTATTTATGTCCTTTGCCCATTTTAAAAAAATACATGTTTATTAATTTCAGAGAGGAAGGGAGAGGGAGAGAGAAATAGAAACATCAATGATGAGAGAGAATCATTGATCAGCTGCCTCCTGCATACCCCACATTGGGGACCCAGCCCTCAATTCGGGCATGTGCCCTGACCAGGAATCGAACCATGACCTCCTAGTCATAGGTTGAAGATCAACACCAAGCCATGCCAGCTGGGCCCATTTTTTAAATGGATTGTTATTCTTTCTGGTGTTCAGTGTATAACTTCTTATATGTTTTGAAAATTAACCCCATATCAGGTGTACCAGTGGAATAATGTTCTACCATTCAAAGGGTTTTCATTTTATTGATGGTTTCCTTGCTGTGCAGAAGCTTTTTAATTTGATGTTGTCCCATTTTTATATTTTCTTCATTGTTTCCCTTGGCCTATGAGATATGTCACCAAAAATATTGCTATGAGAGATGTCTGAGATTTTACTGGCTATAATTTCTTCTAGCATTTTTATGGTTTCATGATTTACATTTAAGTCTTTTGTCCATTCTGATTTTATTCATGTGTATGATGTAAGTTGGTGGTCTAGTTTCATTTCTTTTGCATGTACCTAATTTTCTCAACACCATATAGTGAAGAGACTGTTTTCACTCCATTGTATGTGCTTGCTGCCTTTGTCAAATATTAATTGCCTATAAAAGAGGAGGGCTGATTTCTGGGCTCTCTGTTCTGTTCCATTGATCTATATGCCTGTTCTTATGCCAGTGCCAGGCTGTTTTGATTACAATGGCCTTGAAGTATAGTTTTATATCACCTATTGTGATACCTTCACTTTGTTCTTCTTTCTTAAGATTGCTGAGGCTATTTGGAATCTTTTTTTTGTGTGACAGAATATAATTCAAATGCCCTCTTTCTTAAGAAACTAGATGGAAGCATCGAATATCTATAGTCTTACTAAAGGCACCTGTGAATTTTTTATTACCTAAAAATATTATCAATCAATTTCTTCTCATCTGATTCTTAAAACAAATTTTGACTGTTGTTTAACTCAATAATGTAGACAATACAAAGATATTTCCATAATTCTATAACTTCAATTTTCAAAAATAATCTTTCAAATGCTTGTTTTGTAAGTTAGTAAATATTCCTGCAGCTTCTAAAAACTATGAGTTTAAATTAAATGAAACTCCTTTTTATTAGAAATGTTAGACTTTAATGAAAATAGCACAGTAAGTTAATACTTTGCCTCGGACCTATACACAAGGAAATGATAAATAGAAAACACATTTTTATAAAGGCAAAAACAGGTCAAATGCCATCTCAAGAGAAAAGAAAAAAATATGCCAAGTGACGAGCAGGGCTGAAACCACAGAACATGGGCTTTAGGATAAAAAGCAGGCTGTCGTAGCTTGAATTTTGACTAATTTAAATTTTGCAAAAGCTAAAGGAGAAGAGTCAAATTCTCTTAACAAAAGCAAAAGCTAGGGCAGGGAACCTGCTCATAAACTGAGGTGGGAAATATACCTTCCCTCACTGCCTCGGGCTATAAGAGGCAGGATGTGCAAGACTCCAAGCATTGCCATGAAATATGAAACCATAAACTAGTATTGTTACTCAGGTAAGGTATCAGGGAGCTAAGTAATGCTACAACAAAATCACTGAACAAGGAGGTAGGTACAAAGAAAAACATCAGGAAAGAATGGAGGAAGGATAGAGAAAAAGCAAATCTACAGTAGATATCAGGAGAAAAGGACTATCACCATGTAGTTAGAAAGGAAATAAACAGACATTCATTTTAAAATTGTATCACCACATAACTTATTATTTAGGGGTGAGGCCAATTTAAAAATGTTTAAAGTTTATAAATACTAAGCAAGTTCATCACCACAAATCTTATGTAAATAAAAAACAAGTAGTAATTTAAAAAGTGAACCTTTGCAAGAAGGAAAAGAAACTGAAAGGGAGAGGATAAAATAATAGAAACAAAAAAAATGACTAAAGAAAATGATAAAATATATCCTTGTAACAGTTGAAAACATAATAGCTTCAAATGATATTTACTTAAAAATATTTTTTAAAATATTAAACTATAATTCAAGACCTAAAAAGGGTGGTGGGTGAAGGTGGGAGAAGGTATAGGGGGATGAATGGTGATGGAAAAAAATAAGGGAAAAAAAGGGAGGGTTAAAAATGGTAATTTAAATTATGACAAGTTCATTCTATTCCAGAAAGTGACAAACATATTGAAGCACTTTAGGATTATTAAAGAAATTTAATATTAAAGATATATGTCAAAGTTTTTAAATAACCATAAAAACATTATATATAAAAGACTAATAACCAAAGATCTTAACAGACACCTAACTAAAGAAGATATACAGATGACAAATATGTATATAAAAATACTCCATATAATATGTCATCAGGGAAATAAAAAGCAAACAATGAGATTCCATTACACACCCATTAAAATAGCCAAAATCCTGAATACTGGCAACACCAAATTCTGGAGAGGATGCAGCGCAACAGAAATATCATTCATTTCTGGTGGGATCACAGACACTTTTGAAAGTAGTTTGACGTTTTCTTACAAAACTAACCATACTTTTCCATATAATTCAGCAATTGTGCTCCATGGTATTTACTCAAAGGAGATGAAAAATGTAGATCCACACAAAAACCTGCACATGGGTGTTTAGAGCAGCTTTATTCATAATTGCTAAAACTTGAAAGCAACCAAGACTTCCTCAGTAGGTGAATGGATAAACTGTGGTTCACCCAGACATTGGAATATTATTCAGCATTAAAAAGACATGAGCTATCGAGCCCATTGAAAGACATGGAGAAAATGAAAATGCATATTACTCAGCAGCCAACCTCAAAAGGCTTTATACTTTATGACTCCAACTATATGATACCCCGGAAAAGGCAAAACTATGGGGACAATAAAATCTACATGGAAATAGATTAGTTTCTGCTGGAATAAAATTTTAGATTATACTTTTTAAAAATAACTAACAATACCCCTACCAAAAAAAACAAAGCAATAAAGAGAAAAGTACACAGAAATGACAAATTAGTGTTAGAATAAGAGGAAGAAACTCATTGACAATACTGCAGGGATAGGGAGAGCTAATAGAGTTGATAAACCTTTTTTTGTCATTGTTCATGAAAAATCTATTATCTCCTGATGATAAAAAATAATAAAATTTACCAAATTAAAATAGTTAATTAACCTAGTGTAATTTTTCCTTTACACTGTTGGAAATTATTGATTTTTCCATTTCAACATCTATGGCATAATATAGTTTCAATAAAATATACTCAGTATGTTCATCAAGACCCTGATCAAATGTCTGCATACAGTCACAATAAAGTACAGTTCTAAAAATAATATATAAAAGATATTATTTTTTATTCCTACCTTCATCATCACTACTTTGATCCTGCTGAGGTGTAGATTCTAAAGCAGGAACTCTTCTTGCATTTGTGCGCAACCAGGAAATGTGCCCAGCAGGTGCTTCTGATGCCCAGCCACACGTATCAAATTCAAATCCACAGGGCTGACACACTAAAGAGAGGAGAGAAAGATCCTGGTGGACTCTCACAGCCTATGAGAGTGGTTACTGCCATGGTTGGTGTTACAGTGGGGTTTATACACAAATTCATATCTGGAAATTTTGGTTCAATAAACCTTAGAATGAACCAGCAATTCTATTTTTCAAGTTCTTCAGTTCACTCAGATGGGCATCCCCCAAAATGAGAACCATTGCATTGCCATAAAAAAATGAAAATTTTCTATCTTTCCTTGGACAAGTGCTTTGGTTTTTATTTTTTAAATAGCATAATATCTGACCTTAGCTAATTTATGGAAATAATTTTATTTATATAATTGACTATTCATAATCACACTGAGATTTTAAAGAATCATTACGTATAAAATTCCAAAATTGTCTTTAGTGGAACTGTTTTACAAAGTAATATCACCTTAAATTGACATATTTAATATATTTCACTTGTTGAATAAATCAATCTTCCAATAACATTCCAGCTAAAACTTGGGCATAAATGTCAACAAATACCAAATAACAAGTGAGTATCTTATATTCCTATTAGTGATCTGAGTCTCATGAATGGATCACACACCAACAAGCTGGGTACGCCAATTTAACACTTACATCTTAATCCTGCATCTGTAGAGTCAAATCTGCAGAGACTTGTATCAGGATGGCATAGTTCCTGCTTGGTGATCGATGCTTCTTGACACGGTAAAGTTTCATCTGTTAAATTTAAAGAGTGAGATGCAGATGCAACTGGGGGAGTTATTCATTTATTAAGACACGAGAGGCCCGGTGCACAAAATTCATGTACTCGAGGGGGTCCCTCAGCCTGGCCTGCGCCCTCTCACAGTCCAGGAGCCCTCAGGGGATGTCCGACTGATGGCTTAGGCCAGTTACCCCCGGGGAGCTGGCCTAAGCCAGTAGTTGGACATCCTTAGCACTGCCACAGAGGCAGGAGAGGCTCCCACCACTGCCACTGCACTCACCAGCCATGAGCCCAGCTTCTGGCTGAGCTGCACTCCCCCTCTGGAAGCGTGCTGACCACCAGGGGGCAGTTCCTGTGTTGAGCGTCTGCCCCCTGGTGGTCAGTGCACATCATAGTGACCGGTCATTCTGCCATTCAGTCGATTTGCATATTAGGCTTTTATTATAAAGGACTAACACTTGTTCTACAAAGCATTTCCACCCAAATCTTCTTTATGGCAGCATCATCCCTTTTGAGCTCAGCGTGTCAGCATTTTGAAAAACCCTAACTTAACTCTGGTGCCGTGTCACATATAGAAATTTTTTGATATTTGCAACCATAGTAAAACAAGGATTTATATTTTTGATATTTATTTTATATATTTAAATGCCATTTAACAAAGAACAATCAACCAAAAAAATGAGTTCATAGGTTCGCCATCACTGCCTTAGGTGGACCCATTACACAAAGAAAGGATATATAAACCATGCTAATGCTTCTGGGATTTAATCAGATCTCTGTGGTGAATGCTAAAACCAAATCTTTCATCCCCACCAAAGTAACTTGTCTGAACATGAAAACTAACAGCCTATTATTAAAAGGATAATAGTACATGCATCAGATGTAACGTATAGTGTCTTCTTTAACTGGAAGCAGGATCTGCCCTGGAACTATTTTCCCTGCAGCCCTTTCAAACGGTGCCTCCTTTCCTCCCACAGCCCTCCCAATACAGAACTCAAAAGTGGATAGGTGTCCTTCCTGTACCAGTAGCCACTTCCAGATAATTCTCACTCCGTTTCCTAAATACCCAGCTTTGAATCTCTGGACATCAAAGGGTTCACTCTCTGTGCCAGTTTGTTGCAGTCATCTACAGACTACGCACTACAGCTCAGTCCTGATGGCATCAGCCCTTGTCTCACTGTCATTCTTTGTCATTTCAATATTCATCTTCATTTCTTCTTTTCTTCTTCATTTCTTGATTTCTTCTTATTGGTGATTGTGAAGGAGAACCCTGATGAAAAACGACCTCTGCCACCAATCCTCGGAGGATTATCATTACTAATAACATTTCCTTGATCTTAATTACAAGTGACTCACTCCACAACCTTCATCCCCATTGTTCCAGTTCACTCCCTCTCATATCTCAACCGCAACAATGTTTTGACAGCACCAGGCCCTACCAGCTAATGGTCCTACAATCTTATCAATTCCTTTCATCCTCTCTCATGTTCTCTCTTCCTTTCTTACAGATGTTAGACAGCCAGTCATCCTGGCTCTTCTCATGCTTCCCCATACTCTTGGAGCAAAAACTGAAAAGTACAATTCTCCACATAGTGCAAGTAATGGATAGTTAGCTTTTTGATTGTCGTGTAAGTGCCTAACATTAAGCTGTTGATTGCTGAGGCACCCATTTCAAAGACATCTGCTCGAATAAACACATGGCCAGCTACACAACTAGATAAAGAACCAGGCAGCCCCAACCTATGAAGTTCCCCTTTTAAGAAAGCCTTGGTTGACCTAGATAAGGGACTGTTGGACTGACCCTGCTTTTCCTTCCCCTGCTGTTATTTTTTAAATTCACCAATAAAGAGTGGACCCACAAAACTCTAGGTCCCCCACCCTTGGTACCAATAAAGGCAGAAACCCTGGCCAGCGCTCTCTCTCTCTCTCTCTCTCTTTCTCTCTCTCTCCCACTATGACCTAAATGTATGGCCCCAAATGATCCTCCAGGACCTATGAGTAATGAAGCTTGTTTTGTCAAACTTCCTTGATGGTTGTTGCTAAGGTGCATCTTGCAATCTTAAAAACAACCACCACAAGGGCTGGTCCAGTCACAACTTTGTCTGCAGGGGCTGCCAAAGTAGTAAGGGCCCAGGTGAGTGTCCCATGCACTCCTAGTTGATAGCATCACTATGGATAGGCTTGGATCTAAACAAAACCCACCATCTCCTCCATTTACATCTGTGCAGCAGAACTTGAGTGAAGAGAGGTCCACAATCATGATGATTAAAATTACATATCCATGACTACTCATTTCATTGCATCATAGCAATGCCATACTACATTTTTCTAAATCTTTCTTTTTCCTCTATTCCTAGAAACTATTCAAAGACCTTTACCCCTCCTTAAACTTCCACCTCCTCTTTCATTTCAGTTAATCATCCTTCATTCCACCTCATCATTCTCAGCTAATCATCTTGCTTCACATTTCATAGGAAAAATCAGAAGAAAACCTAATAAGTGCCGCCACCAATCTACCTACACAGCTGTCCACATGCCTTTCCTCCTGTAACGTGGGTCAATTAGCCATGCTCCACTCTAAGCCCACTCCTTTCATTCATTCATATAGAAAATGCATCTCTTCTTGCCTATCTAAGAAATCATTCCAGCAATTTCCTCTTCTCCTTTACACTAGCATGTCCTCTTGGAAATAGCTTCAGTACACGAAGTGGCCAAAATTTCACCCATCCTAAGGAAACGTCCCTACCCTACAACCCCCTCCAACTAACTTTTCTAAGTTTTTCATATTCTCACTGACTCCACACCCATTTGTCCCCCCTCATTTATTCTTGAATCCATTCCAATAAGGTTTTTGTCAAACATCTTTTTATTGAGGTAAGATTCACATAACATTAAATTCATTTTAACCATTTGTAAGTATACAATTCAATGGCTGTTAGTGCATTTACAATGTTCTACCATCATCATCAGTAGCTAATTCCAAAACATTTTCATTATACAAAAAAAAAAAAACACACGCATAACCATGAACAGTCACTCCCCATTCTCTCCTCCCTCATCCCACAAACCTCTAGCAACCAGTAATCTGCTTTCTGTCTATATGGATTTACCCAGTACATTCCATATACTAGTAAATGGAATCATACAATATTGACCTTTTGTGTTTGACTTCAACTTAGCATTTAATGTTTTAAAGGTTCGTTCTTGTTGTAACATGTATCAGAACTTTATTCCTTCTTTTTTTACCCCACTACTCCACAGGAACTGCATATGTAAAGGTTGACCTCTATATTGCTAAATCTAGTATTTAATTTCCCCTCCCCAACATACCTGACATATAGTAGTACTGGGCCTAGTTGATCACCCTCCTTCTTCCCTAGATTCTAATACATAAATTTTCTCCTGGTTTTCCTCTTAAATTACTAGCCGTTCATTCTCAGACTCCTTTTTTGTTTTCCTGTGTCTCCTCAAGGTTACACAAAGTAGCATTAGAGCTCAGTCCTTAGATCTCTTCTCTACAGTCATGTTCTTGTTAGTATCACCTAGTGTCACACCTTTAAAATTTTTCCTAAGTGCAAGTGACTCATAAAATTATATCTTATGCCCAGACCTTTTACTGGACTCCAATATAAATATCATCCTGATGACTTGGCTCCTTCACCTGGCTAACTAACAAGCATCTCAATAGAAATATTTCCAAAACTCAAGTTCTCATTTTCTCTACCCAAACTTTCTCCTCCCACATTCTTTGCCATTGTAGTTCATGACAACTCCACCCTTATAAATCAGGCAAGAAATGTGGAGTCATCCCCGTCTCTCTTACTGTACAAATACCATCCATCAGCATATCTTTGCTTTGTTTAGAAAACACATTAAGAATATGACTGTATCCTACCACCTCCACTACTACTGTTGAAGGTAACAGCATTCTTTCTGGATTATAATAACTTTCGCCTCCTTGTTTCTGCCTTTCTCCCAATATGTGAGTCAGATCATGTCTCCTCTGCTCAAAATCCTTCCCTGGCTTTCTAGCCTTCATAAAGTAGCCTTCATAAAGTAAGCACAAAAGTCTTTACCATGATCATTCTCATATAAACCATGAGAAACTCTGCATTTATGGTACTTCCAGTACACACATCGCTTGCTCACTCAACAACTTGGCTTTTCTGCACAGTAACTATGATCTCCATGTAACCATGCCTGACTACTCGAAAACTTCATCTCACCCTCACTTGTAGCACTTCTTATCTTGGTTTTCTGTTTTATTGTTCCCCATAGCACATATCACCACTTGACATAAAATATGTATTTTTTGTTTATTTGCTTATTTGTTTATTATCTTTCTCCCTCTGACTAAAATTTAAGTTCCATGGATGCAGGAATTACTGTTTGTTATTTCTGCTGCTGTCTCCCCAAAGTTTAGAAAACTTCTTTGGCACAACATATGTGCTCATTATATACTTAATTAGTGAATGGATAAATAAATGACTTAAGAAAAATTTGACAAAAATTTTTAAATGCCATATATTCTATATAAATTATTTGCATTTCTATTTGAAATAAAATTGAAGCAATTGGTTATGAAAATGATTTGCGAATAACATCCATAATCTGGTTTTTCATAATGAAAGCTTACAAATGATTAATGTTCTAAGCCTCCTGAATGGAAGAGCCACTAAAAATAAAACTGCATATGCAATTAAGGGAGTGTGGGCAATAAATGAAGCTAACATGGCACAATAACAATTACCATGAAACAAAACTATAATTTCTGTAGTTTTGTACAATAGCTACAAATCTTCTCCCCCTCACAGCTACATAATTAAATATTGGCTATAGTTTAATTAAATGTTGTATATTATCTCTAGTTTTTCACTATTTATACAAGACAAAAAAACAATAACAAAGGTACTGTAAACAAAAATGGCAAAACAGGCAAGTATAAATTGCAAGAATTAAGAATCTAGCTTGTACCTATTGATATTAAATATATTTAATCAATGTCAACCACTTT